CGGTCTGTTACGAGGTAGATCTATGGTACCCTTCATCCTATCGGTGACGGAAGTGTCGAGATCTGCCTCTTGGGCGCATTTTGGGCGTTGGTCAGGCTTGGAGGGGTCGTTTTTCGGCCTTCGTCTCGCGGGGTGAAGTTCCGTTGCTAATTCGTGACCGTAGGGGAGGGCTCTAGTTTATATTTTTTCGTTTTTAGTTTTGGGTATATTTCAGTTAGTTTCTTCTAGTGTTTCTAGTTTGTATTTACCTAGGCCGGTCTTTTGGCACTGATGGAGTTGAATGATTAACCTGGGTGGGTTCGATCGCTTATTGATTGCCATTCGGGGTGGCGGTCAAACAATTTCATTAGTGTTGCCGGAATGGGATTGTCGTGTTGTGTTGTTTTGTTCTTTAGCTTGTAGTAGTTTCTCCCGTTGGGGAGTGTGTTTCTCCCGTATGGAAGCTTTTTCTCCCGTTGGGGAGTTCTTTCTCCCGTAGGGGAGTTCTTTCTCCAGTTGTGGAGTTTGTGTTGTTTTGTTAGTGGGTGCGTTCTAGGCGATCCATTGGATCTGTCCTCCCACTAGATTCAGCTTTTGAGCTGTCTTTTCGGCTTTTGAACTGTTCTAGATGTATCTATGTGTTTTATGATATAAAATTTCTATCGTTTTGACAAAAAAAAAGAAAGTATTCTCGGTTAAATTTTACTTAATCGAGCTAGTTCAGTAATTAAATAATTCTCGTCTGTTTATTTTTATAAATAGATNAAGAAGAAGATTATGCCTATAGTCATAAATTCAATTGATTGCTAATTAAATTCCACATTCACAATTATGAATATAAAGTTGGACAAGGCATGGGAAATACGGCCTTAGCGCCAAAGGGGCGACACAACTTCAAAATGTGGGCGAACCACCAAACACTGTCCACGTGTTTTAGTCATGGTCAAATGGCGGTGCACCTGTAGGGACACGTGTGCAACCCAGACCAGAATAATTATAGAGTGCACTTGAGCGAGAATTCGAGCTTAATGAATTAAATTTGCAATTAACTAAGAAACTTTAAACTTATATTTACTTCTTTTAGTATAAACTAGTGAGTACCCGTGCGATACATGAGAACAATATTAAATTAACAATATTATAAATAGATCTCGAGTTTGAGTCACTGACGGAAGTTGAAACTACTATTGATCCTATTTAAAAAGAGGAAGAAAAAAAATAATTATAAAGTAAAGAGGAGGATAAACAATACTTAATAATTATAAATTAAAGATTCGGGGTCAAACAATGTAAAACTATTTTGTATAAGAAAATATGAAATTTACATTATTTTGTATAAGAGAATATAAAATTTGTATGTTTAATATTAAAAACACCTAAAATATTATATTAGTATATATGTAAAAGTATTCAAAATTTTCTATATTATTTTTGAAAGATGTGAAGTCACCTACAACTTTTCTAAACAATTTTAGAAGGAAAATATATCTAAGAACATTTGAATTTAACATTATGTAAAAAAGATTTTTCTAGACTATTTTGTAAAGAAAACATGTCTACAAATATTTAAATTTAATATGTGTATATGTATATATATATATATGCGTATGTTCTGTATAGTTTTTTAGAGATAATAATTCAACACGTGTATTTGTTTTAGGAAATGAATAACAAACTTAATATCAGTTTTGAATATTGATAAGGTGTATGAAATATCTTCTCACGGATTTTGTTTTTGAATCTTAAAATTATCCAAATATCTTCTCCTTGTAATACTTCAATTTATCGTTAAAAAAATATGTTTAAAAGGCGTGTGAAATGGGATTATTTCGTTACCATAAAAAAATATGTGATAAGGATGCTCGTGTGAAATGGGATTATTTCGTTACCATAAAAAATTATGCGATAAGGAGGCTATTAATAAGACGTGTGAATTGGGTTATTTCATGAGAATTAAATCGGTATAATTAATGAGTTTAAAAGACGTGTGAAAAGGACATAAATGCTGACTTAATAAGCTTAATGAGTTTAAAAGACGCGTGAAAAGGACATAAATGCTGACTTAATAAGCCGTGTGAAATGGACATAAGAGTTACCGATTTTAGAAAGTAATAAATGCAAAACTGACTTTGACCATTAATTAAGTTACTAATTTTAATAAATGTTAATTCTTATTATATAAGTATAGATATAAAAATTTTCTTTGAATATTTTAAATGATTCATAACAAATTACTTAATAGATTCGTGATGTGCCCGAATAAATCAATCTTCAAGTTTTCTGGTTGGATCGCCTTATTTTGAATCACAACCGAATCAAATCGAATCAACTTGACAAACAGTGTATGAAATAGGCACCGTATAGACTCTCTAATGCTCAAGTCCAAAAATGTATACTCAAAATAGCATAATAAGAAGATTTTATCCTCTCAGAAAGAGAAAATAAGCCCAGATCCCTTATTTATAGCAATTAAATGACTTATTCCACAAAAAATGTGGTTTGCTCTATTATCAATTAGAATCGAGGCGTAAATATACACAAATTCACTCGTATTTATCTTAAAAATATTTTATAAATATTCATGGATATTGAAACTAATATCATATGTCTACCCCACAAATGATACTAATACTATACATCAGACTCGCTCATAAAAGTATGTATAATTATTTTTTAATGTACGTATATGTGTTAAATCTTTCATGAAAAGATGATAAACATGTTAGCATTATTTTACATCAAGCTATCTGGACAATGCACTTACGGGTTTTTAACCGTCCGATCCGATCCACAAATACTTGCACTTATGTCTATGTGCATTTGCCCTTCCTTTGAGATTCAACTTATAATCAATAATCAATAATTTTCTTTTTAATGACTTTCAAACCTAATTACCTTTTTCACCTTCAATGACTCTGTGAATTGATCAACGTGATAGCAAAAGGCATGGCTTGGTTTTTAGCAAGCAATGTCGTGTGGCCAGAAATGATGACTCCTTTTTTGATATAGCTTTACTTATTAGGTTTTTATTATCAAACCTCCTTTACAACGTGGGGTCGGCAAATGTTATTTTCAGATTCTAATAATTTTCTTCCACAAAAATGAAATTAATGGTAGTCAAATTAAAGATTGTTGCTACACCTACCGAAATCAATTAAGAGCATGGATCAAGCATGGTGTTGTGACACTATCCATTTCAAAAATTAATCATGTTTTGGAATTATTACTATGTAATTAATCATATACTCCTTTTTTTTTTCTTCCAATTTTTTCTTTTGTCAATTGTAGGAAATTAATAGGATGCGGTTCAAATGAGAACCAAGTTTTAGTGTGAGAACAGTGAGGGAAAAATTCAAAATTAGTCCCACAGATATAGGGGGTGACAATTTTGGTCCCGACGGAATGCACAAAATATGAATAGTCCCACAGCTTTTAAAAAATGATCAAAAGTAGGACTTTTTCGCCGGATTTACTATTTCCGGCCCGGAACGCCACGTGGCGCACACGTGGCTTATTCTTTACACGCTGGCGCACACATGGCGCACACGTGGCTTACTTTTGAATTTTTTCCTAGATAGGAAAAAAATTCAAAACTAGTCCCACAAGTTTAGAGGAGTGACATTTTTTGTCCCGATGGAATGCAGAAAATTCAAAACTAGTCCCACAACTTGTAAAAGAATATGAACACGTCAGATGCCACGTGGCGTTCCGGGCCGGAAATAGTAAATCCGGCGAAAAAGTCCTACTTTTGATCATTTTTTAAAAGTTGTGGGACTATTCATATTTTCTGCATTCCATTGGGACCAAAATTGTTACCCCCCCTATAACTGTGGGACTAGATTTGAAATTTTCCCGAACAGTGAGAACCGGTATTTTTAATTGTGCGTAGTGCTATGATTGATTGTTTTTTGTGCTATTTTTAACCAAGATGAATTTTATTAAAAATAGCAACACAATTTTTGTTAGCATTTATAAAAATGATAGCATCATACACAATTAAAAATACGGTTCTGACTTCTCACGGTTCTCACACCAAAACTAATTTTTATTTGAATCAACTCTTATATATATTTATTTTCATTTTATTAAAAGTGTGAAAGGAAAAAGAAAATCAAAAAGCAAATGAGAATAGGGTAAAGAGGAATGAGAATTAAATTAATATGACAAAATGACTATCTTTTCCCAGCCAAATATTTTATTTTTCAACATATATAGATGCTTACAAACAAATATTTCATACACTAACAAATAATATGAACAAAAGCATATATTTTATAACATAAGAATATATTTTTCTAAAAAGCATGACGAGTCAACCAACTCAACGGCTAATCCATCTCACAAAAGAACTTGTGTAAATTTTTTTTCTTATCTAAAAACCCACATATTAATCTACGACACGAAAGAATAATCTACCGAACACCAAACACTACAAAAAAGTTATATTTCAACGGAAAATCTTATGGTAATATATTTAAATAAAAATTCTAACAGATATTTCAATAGTATAACTTCCGTTGGAATGTGTTTTTCATTGGAATTTTAGGTGGGATTTGATGATTTCAACGGCTTTTTACCGTAGGAATTTCCGTTGGAATTTTTATTTTCACCCCGTTGAAAAATTCTACCGTTGGAATCGTCAAAATCCAACTGAAATTCCAATGGAAAACTCATTCCAACGGAATATTTTTGTTGAAATTTCCATTGGAATCCATTGAAAAATTCCAACGAAAATAATAGCATTGAACATCTATTAGAATTGTTGTTGGAATAATTTTATTAGAATATATTTCTGTTGGAATTACATCTTTTTATTGTAGTGAATCAACAACACCAATAATAATAATAATGTTTGAGTAACTATATAATAAGTTAAACAATCATACTATTACAGATAATATAAAAAGAAAAAATATATAAAAAATTGTGTAAAATAATAAGTATAATTGAAGAAGCGCAACTTGCGGTCAAAACTCTTTAAATAGAGACGCGATGACTGATTTATCCTTTGCAAACACACAAATTATCCCCCTAACAAAAGTTGGATATTTTTTCCCTCTCTATACATACGGACCCTACTTACTCCTTTCTACTTTCCCTTCTCTAAAGACTTATTACAAACCCCATTCTCTATGTCTGAAGAACTCCGTGAATTCTACTACCGCCACCTCTTCCATGACGGCCACCGCCAGACCTCCGCCGCCACCTCCACCGCTGCCCCATTTTCCGGCAGCCTCTTCCCTGCCGCCACCCCACCCCAACCCCAAACGTTCGACCCCAACCCTTACCTTAGTTTCTCCGAGATTCTCCATGGGACTTCGGACCACAACAAGTATATCCTCCCCGAGACCTTCGCCGGAGGCCATAAATCGTCGCCGGAGGCCGCCACCGGAGGCGGCGGCAGTGGCGGCGAACTGCCCGCCACGCCCAACTCCTCCCTGTCGTCATCCTCCGCAGAGGCGGCCGGGGGCTTCGAAGACGAGTCGAGCAAGGGTAAAAAAGTAGGGCATCAAGAGGACATATCAAAGAAAGAGTAAGTTACCGACTGTAAATCAAATATTATCGTGTGAGACAGCCTAACGGTTAGGCAAGTCAATCTGTTTTACTTCTTTCGCAAAAATGTATATTTATGATATGAAATGTCATACTTTTGTTTACAGCCTAATAGTATTTGTAATTTAATATATAACTAGTCATTATTTTTCTATTTATGTTGTTTGATTTTGATCATTTTGGAAAAACAATGAATTATTATTATTAGGGGTAAAGGGAAGACTAAGAGAGGGGAAAAGAAGGAAAAGCAAGAGAGGTTTGCTTTCATGACCAAGAGTGAAGTTGATCATCTTGAAGACGGGTATCGATGGAGAAAATACGGGCAGAAAGCCGTCAAGAACAGCCCTTATCCCAGGTATTGACGATTTTAGATGTGATCGGTTTGATTCTTATGTAACTTTTGAAGAATTGGAATTGTTATTACAAGAATATTCTTGATTTCTAGTTCGTGTATTAGAGCTAGTTCTTTTCGATTTTAAAATCCCGCCCCTAGTATACTATAAACATATAATATTTTTTTTTCCCTTAAATTCCTCGAATTAAAGTGTAAGTTTGATGTTGAGTTTGATAGGAAAAACTTTGGTGTGTGAACACTACTCAATTTTTCCTTAACAATCAAAATCATGTATGTATGCAAGTGGGCTGATTGTTTGACCCAGCAGCGTGTTTCATACTTTAACCCTAGTTTCTAGTTAGTTTTCCGCCCTCTCCTCCACAAGTACAACAAGACGTCAGTCTTTAGTATTAATTGTCATTTGTCATACATTAATAGTGATTTGGATTTTACTATGTATAGTTTGGACATTAGAACAACCCTAGTATGGACACATTTTTTTCCATGACCATAAAATCACAAATCATATATGGGTTTCTTGAATTAGTCAATAGTTGAGACATCGACTTGATGAATATAATTTACGATAAACAAAATCAGACGATGAATTCACGAACGTGCACGGGTACTTTCACTATTTGCTAATCCAACTTCATACATGCATTCATGTATCATACATAGAACTGTTAAATTGTACGAGCCGCTCGTGAGATCGGCTCGACTCGTTTGATAAACGAGTCGAGTTCGAATTCTTTAAAACTCGTTCAGTTAACGAGTCAAACTCGACTTGGCTCAATAAGGTTAGAGTTGTACATTTCGCTTGATTTTGGCTAGTTAAGGCTCGAGCTCGATTCATTAATATTGATAAGCGAGTCGCTCTCGAGTTCGATTATAAGATTAAGTTAACTAGTCAAGTCGAGACAAACTCGTTAAGGGCTCGAACTCGAACAGCATGAGTTCGAGCTCGGCTCGACTCCTTTACACTCCTAATCATACCTAGAAGAGGAAATTAATCAATTGTTGTGAATTTTCGTGTTAATGCAGAAGCTATTACAGATGCACGACACAGAAATGCTTGGTGAAGAAACGCGTGGAGAGATCATTCCAAGACCCCTCGATTGTGGTCACCACCTACGAGGGGAAACACAATCACCATGTCCCCGCGAACCTCCGTGGGCACGTGGCCCGCATGCTTGCCCCATCGATGTTCGCCTCGTCTCTAGAAACTTGCGGCCCAAGCTTTCCGCAGGAACTCTTGCTCCACCAGATGCCCGATTACCTCTACGGTTATAATAACATCAATGGCGGCAGTTCCAACAATTTGTACCATGAACGCACGCCGGCCCCGCATAACCCTCACCAGTTTCAACAGTTTCAAGATTACGGACTCTTGCAGGATATAATTCCTCCCGTGTTCCCCAAGCACGAGCCTTGATTGATCGAAACCCTAGTAATGTGGTTTTTATATGCATGATGATGTTTTTTTCTTTTCTTTCTTTTTTTTTTTTTTTTTTTAAAAAAATTGTGGAGTGGAAGAGGATGGTGTTATCGATTATGAGGCACGGTTATTTTCTACACGACCGTTGCTAGTACTGTCTATCGGCTTCACCATCATCGTTCCTTAGTTATAGCTCCCAATTAATACTTGGATCTTGCATTGTAATGTATCTAATACTAGTGTATCATTGCATTGCAAGTTATAATGAAACTAGATGTTATGTTTTGGCATACAAATTTCAGCTAATTAAAATTTGATGACTTGTTTGATTGCTTCTTTCTTATGGTAGTGTACTTAGTAATGCTTGATATATTTACTATTACTATGATTTATTTTGTGTAAGCAAGCTTTGGAAATAGAATTGCTAAAATACAATAGTCAAATTGAATCAAACATTACTAAATTTGTTTTAGCAAGAAATTTATGCATGAGTTGCTAAAAATATGACCGATCTTACTGCTGTTTTTCGGGAAGCATTGGCTTACTCGTTTGAAGCATGTATCTTAACTGATATTTTAGTCAATACTCCGATTATTGATTTTTATATGATTTCTCTTTTACTATGAGTCTTGCTACATTTTATATTCTCTCATTTATATACTTTATTTTATACAGTTGAATAATCAAAACTTTTAATTATAAACTAAATATAAATTTGTATTATATAATATCAAATGTCAATTATTATCTTGCTTGTAAACGAAAAAATTAAAATAAACATCCTGTTCTCGTATTGTTTATATGGTTAATTGTGGTTTGTAATTTGGAATATGGTAATTAATGTTTTATCTCAGATTCTCCTTTACTCAATGAATGGACAGCCTAAAAAAGGCTTCTATGTTTTTATTCCATATTATCCCTAATTCGGCTCTGGTCTTGATCCGATTGTGTTCAAACTTTGTGTTTGTTTCGTTGTTTAATGAGTATTTCTATTTTTATTGTTAATTAGTGAAAGAAAAAAGAAAAAAAGAAAAAAAAAACACCGCAATATACATCTTGGTTGGTTATTCTTTTGTATGGTTATATATAACTTTCAAGTTACTGATTATTGATTAATAAATAAATATTCCAACAATTGGTTGAACTTCTATGGATGTTCTTCTTTTGCTGCCACAGATATCCTATCGAATTTTTGAGACCACTAACACATTCAATTCAGCTTTTATCCCCCCACAAAGAGAGACATCCGGAAAGTTCTTCACAGTTTCATTGCTGGAGAGGAGTCATTATCTCAGGTCTTTTTACAATGGAATAGAGTAAATTGTAATTTTTAATCATCTATGTTTTTACTATGTTAACTTTTTTGTCCCTTTGAATTGCTTTTTATTTTTTATTTTTTTTATTTTAACCTCTTATGTTTTAAAAAACACTAGTAAAGTGCACGTGCGATGCACGTGGTATCGAATGATTTTTGCTGAATAAGTTTATAAATAAATTAATTTATTTAATAAACATATCATTGCAGGAATCAAATAAAATATAGAATAAACGAATTCATATGTGATTTTTTTTTATTTAGAATTAGCGTAATGATGTCCTAATATAAAAAGAGTGAAATAACGTTTTACAACCTTCAACTAAAATATATAAAAAACAAATTCTTAATACAAAAACCACTAAAATTTTCTTTCATCTTTCTTATAAGAAATATTCATACTCGCTGAAGTCTAATACATCAATACTATTGCAAAATTTCTCTTAATTCATTTGACAAAACGTTAATTTTATTCAAACACTTAAGAAACATTCTGACCCAGCATATAGTCAAACTTCATGATCGTATAATCTTTATAATAAGGTACTTCTACTAACAATGCATAAATATCTCTATAAAATAACTAACTATGTCATTGAAATTGCTGGTATTTTTTTATCATTGTATAAACTACTACATTCCTCTGTCTCTAGACATATTGGTGCCTACCCCATTGATGCATCGCCCCACGAGGTGGGAATGAATTTTATTTCCAAATAAAAGTTGACTTTCTAAAATTTTGGTTACATGTTTCCAAAATTTTGGTTACATGTACTTCTCCCGAGGTACTAAATTATTTTTTGAAATCATCATACATTACTTGAAAGTACCTCTAAAATAATTGCACATATGTTCAAGTACAATATACCGATGAGATTATAAATATTTCTATAAAAAGTGACAGCTTCATTCGAACATTCAAAATTGTTTTGATACTCCGACATTGTTGTTTATTTGGAATATAGACGAACAATATAATCTATTATTTGAAAATTATTGACCATCATGGTTGTTGCAATGATTTTAGAATTGTTTATCATAATATCTTTCACATTCGTTTAAATATGCAATATTTGTGTGCCTAATAACTTCTTTAATGCTTTTATTGTCCAACATTATTCATCATACAAAATGATTATAAAATTCAAGATAAAGATCAGTTATTTAGTCTCCAACAATAACAAAACAAAACAATCAAAACAATGAGAAAATATTGAGAAGCATATCATTTGTTAAAATATTTGATAGGAGAAGAGTTAGAATTCTATTATATTATGATATCCTTAGTCATTTGCAAAGTTTATTATTATGGAGTCATGATTAAAATATACATTATGTATTACAAATTTTTGGACTTTTTAATTATTTAAAATTAAAAATAAATAATATAGGATCATTATTTATGAAAACCAATTTCTTACAGAGTCCCTGTATTTAAACGCTAGCAATAAAAAAGTAGTAGTTCTCAAAGACTTTTTGTTCGTAAATATTGGTATTCATACTTCTCTAAGAAAATTCACACGTATTCTTTTTCTCATTGTGTTACTATTATATTATTTGTTTCTTATTCTATAGATAAATAATATTTTATTTGCTAAATAATTAAAGCACATTTATATGTATTGCGTTATTTTTTGTATGTGTTTTATATAATGATGTTTTCAAATTATCTTTTTTATTAGGCTGCAACTACTATAATCACATAAGATATAATGTAAATTTAATATATTTGATAAAATTGTACTTTTTATACGAATTATTAGATTAAAAAGTTTACAATTTTTTCCAATGTCTGATAAAATATTAGGTAACTAAGTCATTTTCATAATCACTGAATACATATATGGTACCACCATTATAGGGTTCTTTTTCACGCAGTAATTGAATAATAGTTTAACGTCCAACTCATTTATTTGTCTGTTTAATTCACATAGCTAATGTTATCTCATTTTCCTTCTCTAGCCTAGTCTTTTCCTTCTTTTATCTATGATTTCACTTCGCTTCGCTTCGTTTGTACCTAAGGTGCATTCGCCATAGTTTCAGCATTACGGCAAACCAATGTCAAAGATATATCGGGAATGGACGCTCTAGCTAAAATGTGGGAATAGTTGTAAGTTTACCTCCATTTTTTATTTTATTTTATTTGTAATATGAATTGTTTCAAATCTATGTAAGAAAAATATACCACAAGTTTATCTTATGTTATTCTATACTTAATAAAATTGATTTAACTTGAATAAATAAATTAATATATACTATAATTTTAGGTCAATTTATTATTTTAATATTATTACTAATATATATATATATATATATCGATATAAATAATTATATTATTTTTATTTTATTAGCAATATATTGGTCAACTCAAACATTATTGAAAAGAAATGATGTGATATATTACATATAAAAAGAGTAACAAATAAAAAAAATGAAGTATTTCAAAATTAAAAAATTTAATGAGAGAAAGTAATTAAATTTTTAACTAAAAAATTTTAAAATTAACATACCCAATTTTAAAAAAATGTATACCTAAAAGTTCTAGTTAAAATATATGTGTATCTTAAGTATGTTTTATATTTCTCATTAGCCAGCTCCAATTGATATTGTACATTAAGTAATTTTATCAGTATTTTTACTCTTTGATTTAATGAGAGCTATAAGTTTTCTCATCATT